GGAAGGAAGGAGGGAAGGAAGGAGGGAAGGAAGGAGGGAAGGAAGGAGAGTAGGAGAGAAGAAACGAGGGAAGGAAAGAGGGAGGGAGGGAAGAAAAAGTAGGACTGTTGTAAGATAAGATGGATCTATGGGATGGTAAGAAAGCAATCTTCAAGTATATTGTCAACTGTAGGGAAAAATTGTTATAAATACATATTATTAATAACAGTTATGAGATTATATAATTGTGAATGTATATATGAAATTGATAAAATAAATAATAATAATAATATTCTTTCATTTGTAACAATCCTTATTTCCTTGAATTCATAATTATCTATCGAATAACAGTTAAGTCTTTAAAGTATTATAATACCACCTATCTCCAAGGTGAAAAAGCGAAGATGAGAACGACGTGTTACCTTGATCGCCCTTCGAACGATCATGATTGCATCGTGCAGGGAACGCTCCGTCTCATCCATGAACTGCTGTGCGCCGCCTCGCAGGATGATTGTGCAGGTCTTGGCCTTAGGGCAGCCTGTGAAGAAGTTATACCTGCGAGAGCGAGCGAGAGGGAGAGAGAGAGAGAGGGGAGGACTTTAGGTGGAGGAATGGAAAAGGGAAGCCTTCAAAGAGATAACGCACTGTGGTCACTTTACTGCAGTCTTTCTCAACCTTGGCGACTTTTAAGTCCTCTGGACTTCAACTCCCAGAATCCCCCAGCCAGGCGAGATGCTGGGTGAGGGAGGCTGGTCTTAAGGATTTCTCTGGCCCCGAAGCCCCCCTCAAGCCAATCGCCCCTTTCTTACCTCTCCCCTCCAATCTGGGCCTCTTCGAAGAGGAGGCAGCGCCCGAGGACGTTGTCCGTGAGGGCGTTTGCGCTGCTCTGAATGGATCCCCCGCAGGCCTGCCGGGCAAAACAGACCCGTTTTTGAGTGCAACCTTTACGCAGCCACAAGGGATTCAGGAGCCCACCGGAGACCCCCACAGCTGGATGGCCCCTTCCCCCCTTCAACATTCACATCTGTACCGACAGAAGGGAATATCTGTAGCTTGGGGTTGAACTGTGTGTGGGGTGGTGGTCTTTGGTGCCCTCTGAGCTGGGTGGTTTTCTTGGAGACGTTTCACGACCCAACTAGGGAACATCATCAGTGCTAGAAGGGAGGGAGGTTTATAGAGAGGAGGATGGCTGTAGGGTCCTTAGTGCTCTCTTGAGCTGGGTGGTTTTCTTGCAGATGTTTTATTACCCACCTAGGTAACATTGTCAGTAGTAGAAGGAGTGGGGTTTGCAGGGAGGAGGGGGAGGGAGGGAGAGGAGGAGGACTGTGGGGTCCTTGATGCTCTCTGAGCTTAGTGGTTTCTTTGCAGATGTTTCATGACCCAACTAGGGAACATCATCAGTGCTAGGAGGGAGTGGGACATGTGGAGAGGAAGAGGAGAATTGACCCAACTGGGGAACATCATCAGTGCTAGAAGGGAGGGGGGTTTGGAGAGAGGAGGAGGAAGAGGAGAATGACTGTGGGGTCCCTGATTGCTTTCTTGGAGACCTTTCATGACCCAACTAGGGAACATCATCAGTGCTGGAGAGCTTACAGAGAGGAGGAGGAGGAGACAAAAAGGAAACCAAAGCACTTCCTCGCCAGCACTCAACACACAGAGGAGCAGGGATTAACACCAAGATCAATGCTGGACCAATGATCAAACCGTAAACAACCGCTAAATCAAGAGACCCCCCAAGGAGACGCCCACCCACGCTGACGGGGTACAAGCCACCTGTCCACAAACAGAGAGTAAATTCTCCTAGTAGGAGAGGATCAAGCTCAGAGAGCATCAAGGAACCCCCCTCACATCTGCATATGCAAATCTCGTTCTGCGCAGTAGAGTTACCCAACGCACCCACGGACGGAGTCTTGCCCCCCCTCCCAAAAAAAACCTCGCTCCAATTCCGGGCGGGCAACTGTCCCCTCTGCCCACACGGGGAGCCCAGGGGAAAAGGGGGCCCTTACCATCATGGTCCTCTTCAGGTCTTCTTCGGGGACCCGGCCAGCGCAGAACATGTCCCTGTCCGCGAAGTACTGAGTAGCCACGTCCCCGATGGGCAGTTTGGAGAGGATGACTTTGGCCCCGGATTTGTGGAGCTTCTCCAGCTTGTCGTACAAGATGTTCCATTCGGCGTCCACGATGGCCTGATAATCCTGTGGGACCAGAGGAAGAAGGCTGGGGTCATCGACCACAAGCGGCCCCCATAGGAAGCCTTGGTGCAGGTCATGTACCAGATTAGGAACAGGACAGGGATGGTTAACCCTTTTTAGCACCAAAGGCCAAAACTGGAACTATCTATCTATCAATCTATCAATCTACCCTATTCTATCNAAATAAACTGAACTGAACTGAAAAGACCCCCGAGACAAGCCCTGCCCCCCAACCCCACCTCCCCAATTCTGTTTCCTCGCTCCCGAGCCCACCTCTGCATCCTGGGACTTGGCGATGTCTACCAGCGTCTTGGCCGCAGGGTGGACCACGTCCAGAAGCTTCAGGATGGTGGCGCCGTCGTTGGAGATGGTGGTTTTGCCTGCAAAGATTGACAGCTGCCAGATCCGCACATGGAAGGGCGTTTGACGTATTTGGACATTGGAGCAGAGTCCGAAGAACGAGAGAGGGGGGGGGCCTGTCGGAGGACACCCATGTAGTCCAACAACAACAAATACCCTTACAAACCTGGTCGAAAGTTAACAGCCCTCTGACTAGTCATTGATTCACAAATGTTGGCTTGTGGGAGACCATCATTGTCCTCCTGGTTCGGCATTCACAGCCCCACGGACCTCTCTTATGGGTCAGCTCTCAAGTGAGGCGCAAACTATCTGGGGCATGAATTATTCTGGGCAAGAAATAAGTGACACGGTGGGTCCTTGGTGCTCTCTGAGCTGGGTGGTTTTCTTGCAGACATCTGGTGACTCAACTAGGTAACATCATCCGTGCTAGAAGGGAGAGGGATTTGCAGAGAGGGAGGAGGGGAGGGGAGCAGGAGGAGAGGGACTGTTGGGTCCTTGATGCTCTCTGAGCTTGGTGGTTTTCTGGCAAGATATTGCACGACCCAACCACCATATTTTTCAGAGTATAAGACGCACCAAGGTTTTGAAGAGGTAAATTAAAAAAAAAAAGATTTTGATACTCTGCAGGCCTCCCAAACCGTCCGCACGCCCCATTTTTTTTGTGAAAAACGGGGCATGCAGAGAGTTTGAGAGGCCTGCAAAGTCCTCCTGGGGGTTCTCCCTTTCAGAGCTGAAGACGTTTCCGTGGTCATGTGGCCGGCATGACTCAACGCCGAAGGCGCACGGAACGCTGTTCCCTTCCCACCAAAGGTGGTTCCTATTTTTCTACTTGCATTNGAACCGCCGAACTGCAGATAGCAGTCAGCTGAAGTGGCCTGCAGTGCTGCACCCTAACCACTGCGCCACTTCGGCTCTTAAGTGGCGGTTAAGTTAGCAACATGGTTGCTAAGTGAATCCAGCTTCCCCGCTGCTTGTCTGAAGGTCACAAAAACGGATCACATGTGTCACCCTGGGACACTGCAACCGTCTTAAGTGTGAGTCAGCGACCAAGCGTCTGAATTCTGATCATGCAAAGGCTGTGCGAAAAACAGCCGCGAAGCCACTTTTTAAAAGTGCCGTTGTAACACCAGTCACCTTATGAACGGTTGTAAATCGAGGACTGCTCGCATTTCTTTGAAACGGAGGTGCTCGCAACACCCGAAGCCCAATTCAAGCGTGGGAGAAGCATCGGCACAAAGAGGGAGACCGGGGAGAAGAGGGAAGGATTTATTGTGATTGTGGTTTTAAGCCTCTGTAAAACCCCAATAAATACAACCTCGAGCAAACCGCCTCTTTGTCGAGCATTTCGTCAAATCTGCAGAGATTTCTTTGGGGGTGGGGGGTGGGTGGGTGAGGGGCTTTAGAAACCAGGAGAGGAAGGCGGAGGCCTGGATGTCAGCACTCCGAGGAAAATCCTCCCTGGAATTTCGAGGGAGCAAATGACCTCCACAAAACTTGATGGCGCCCAGAGGGCTCGTGAACGCGGAAAGTGGCTCCGTTCAGCCGCGTGGGAAAATCGGGACAAAACGGGCGGGGAGAGGGGGGGGAGACGGGATAGGGATGTGACTGGTTGTCTTCATCGCCCCCCTCTGCCTCTCCCGCCCGCGACATAAGCCTGGCTTTTCAGTGGGTGTGCGGCCGGCCTCGCCCTCGTCCCATGGGAGGGGCGTCCACGGTGGACCGGGGGTTCTTGATGGTTTCGTCCACAGAGATGATGAGGCAGGCGGCCTCGGAGGCGGCCGTCAGGGCGTTGATGCGCACGACGGCCGGTTCCCACACGCAGGCGTCAAAGTTGTCGGCGATGTCTTCGTTGTTCACGTCCACGCCGTACCAGGTGCCTCCCTGCAGGGCAGACAAGACAGAAGAGACCTGAAGCCATCGGGCACTGCCAACCTCAGAACCTCACGCCTTCCGCGGCCAAGGAAGCGCTGGGACGCAAGGCAAGGCCTCCCTCGGGACCCCAAGCAGGATATACGGGCAAGTGTTTTTGGTAGAGGCGGGGATTGGGACACAGTGACCAGCCAGCCGGCCTGGAGGAACGTGGAGAAGCCCAGAAGGTGGGAATGGCTGGCCTGTTGTTAAAAGCAACTTTGTTAACACTGTTGTTTGTGAACTGCCCAGGGTCACTTAGCTGAGATGGGCACGGTAGAAAAGATGATAGATGAGATAGACAGAGAGAGAGAGAGAGAGGGGAATGGATGGAAAAGATATAAGGGTGCATAGAGATGGAGATAGAAAACAGACGTGGATAGATGGATAGATAAATGAGAGATAGACAGATACGATAGATAGATAGATAGATAGATAGATAGATAGATAGATAGATAGATAGATAGATAGANGTTGCAAAGCTCTCCTAAAATTTGGAGCTTAAGGGGAAAAGGGAGACAAAAGTCCCTTGCAAGCATTCACCGACTCGGCACCACCCAAGTGGCCTCGGCCTTTAAAGGATTCTGTGCTGTTCTGTTTCACGTGCTATTCAAAGGCATAAAGATGAACGGGTGGGTTTTCCCTCTGGATGATGCCCGGCTTCCGTGCTGGCCACTGTGAACTCTTCGTTCAGGGCAGGATGGGCGATAAATGCGTGTTTTCTGCATCCAAACAAAGAGAGAAGCGAAGGATACCAAGTGGTGAACCTTTGAGCCAAGCGGAAACAGTTTCCCTTCCATCAGAGACAGCTTCTTCCCAAAGCAACTCTTTGGAGCAAAAACTTGGGTGTGCCGATCTTTAGTAAAAGGCATTTTCGAGAAGGAGGACAGCGGGCACACTTCATGCATAAATGTGGGCCATCCAAAGTATGGTTCCGAATTTAAAACAACCCGATACGTCGACATTCCCATTTAAAACGGTAAAATTAATCAGTTAACAAAAGAATCCCAAGATTTTGTCCACAAGCTTGGCTTGCTTCTTGGTTCCATTTATGGGATCACTGACTCCAGTGCTCAAACTACATACATCGATAAACTATATATGTGGCGATAAAGGAGTGATTGGAAAGAATATCATCTTTCAAAGGTGACCGGAAAAAGTCTTATCAGGTTCAAGCATCAACATCTAAAGAAAGGACCCTACCAGTCCGCCTGCCAAAGGGGTTCTCACAATACACTTACCCGACCGGTTAAAGATTTCGGGGCTGCAGGAAAAAGCAGGCTAAGCTTGACTAGCATAGAACCTGGTTAGTTTGTTTTAAGAGAACAGGCCATTGGGTTGCTAAACGTATTGTGTGAAATCAGAAAGTGACTTAATTCAATAACCTGGGCATTCAAGTTAGGGTTAAATAGCTCTCTGAGTCGAAGGGGATTTCGGAGCTTTGTTTACGTTAAAACAAATAAAAGCCAGCCTTACGAGGAGAGCGTTAGAAGTAAGATAGTTCCAACTCATTGGGCTTTCGCGTCGGGAATAGCTAACCGCGGACATGGAACGCGTTCTAGCTCCAATGCGTCTCTTGGTAAGAATCAAGCCATTTTTCTCCCCCGGATCAGACTCCGCCTTCGTCGCAATTTGGCCTAAATTACCCTTCGCGATCGGTGCGGCTGATCCCTTCGCATCTCCATGCCGCTTCCGTTGGCTTCGAGACCACCAAAAGTGAAATAAATTAAAGTGGAGCAGGGACGAAAGCTGCCCAATGCGCCTTTTTCGCCATTCAGAACCGCTGCTCCCTCTCATCTCTGCGAAGGGGGACTCCGACCGACGGGACAACCAAGACCCATCGCTGAAAGCGGGCGCCTACCTTTAAAATGAAGCCCTTCGGGACAAGCCAGTGGGGTCGCCAGATCCTTAAAGCTTCATTTCCGCCCTGCTCCCGATCACTTCTGTAACAAACGGGGGGGGGGACGACCCCAACTCGCGCTTACCTTTCTGAATGCCTGGCCCCAGCGAGCCCCACGTCTGGCTTTTGCCTTCTTTGAACAAAGTTTCCCCAACCGGATCTGCAGGAAAAGAGGAAAGGGTGGGGGCAGGTAGCTGAGGAGTACAAAACCCCAAATCGGAGCCGATCCCCGTCCGCAGCCTCGATCAGCTCATCCTTTGGCGGGAGCAAAACAAAAAACAAAAACCGCCGTTCCCCGAAGGAGCCTCGCCTTCTTCCTCGTCCCTCGCCGCCCGCCTCTGCCGCTCCCCCGCCTCCCCGCCAAGTCGCTATGAAGCCAGGAAACGCGTCCAGGAAAAAGGAAATCCGACTTCCGACGGGAGCCGTCGGGGCCGCTTTAAAGAGGGAAGGACGAGGCGGCTTTCCGCGCGCTTTGCCAGCGGCTAGCAAACAGACAATCAAGGGGGAGGAAAGGGCTCGATTCCCCCAGCCTCCACACACACACACACCTCCGGCGGCAAAAAGCAGCCACGCCAGGCCCGGGGAGAGTTTCGAGCGACTGGGCGGCCGAGCCCGCCTCTGCCCTACCTGGCAGGTACATGTTGAGCAGCAGGGTCCGGGCCGCGCCGCGTCTCATGGCAGCTCTGCGCGCACCCCGCGCCCGCGGGGGGTATTATGGCCTTCGCCCGGGAAGAGGGTGGCTGCGGCTGCGGTTGTTATTATTATGTATTGCCATCGCCGCCACCCGCCGAGGGCGAGCGCAGATTCGGGGAGGAGGAAGGAGAGGAGGGGCGAGGGGGGCGCAGCAGTAGCCTGGCAACGCGCGAGGGGCGCGCGCCTGCAATTTCCTCTGCGCTTTAATTAAAGGCGCGGCGCGGGCGCTTATCGGCCCATCAGACTTTAATAAAGTTTCCCCCGTTAAAGATCGCCGTTTCTATGGAGAGAGGCGGCCGTGGCCGCCGCGTTTTCCGCCTCCTTAACTCTTTGCAAACAGGCAGCGCCTGGCCTGGCCTGCCAAGGCCCGGACGGCTCCGGCGGCGCTTCTGCTCCAGCGCTTCTGAGCCAACAAGCGCGCGAATCTCGGCTGAGGGACGGGGGCCCGCCGGGTCCACTCCACCCGGGCCAAGAGGAGAGCTCCATTTTGGGCGGGCGTGGAGATGGCGGCAGGGTGGG